GTGAAGTGAAATTACACGACACCGAATAAAGTCAAAACACTTGGCGCCCCAAATTTATTGCATAATAAATTATCTCCCTCTCGCGCTCGCTCTCTTCGAAAAATAATGGACAACGACTGATGTGGATAATTGGCAACGCGTCGTTTACTATATTGGATCGGGATCAAATTGTGGTTAAAAAGCCACATACACACACACATACACTCAAAAACACCAAATTGAATGGTGTTTTGTGCACGCGCGTTACGTAAAATTCGAAAAATAAATGGTCCGAAATCAAATGGTAAATCTTCAAAATCTGTTTGATATAAAAGCGGTGAAACCAAGCATTGGGTTTTTGATGTGTGAGTTTTCTCACGTCTGGCGTTTTGTGTTCAACGGATGAGGCGGCAGCGGCAGCGGCGTTGATGTCAGTGGCGAATTACGTGTACCGTTTTGCAGCTACTTGGTATTATTATTCTTACCCATTGCGATGTGAATTGTGGATAAAACACAAATGTCTTTTTGTTGGATAGCTGCAAGGCAATTACTTGTTGATAACATATAACCGCACTGTCGAAGGCATTTCATTTCGCTGTTGTTTAACATTATCTCGAAACACATTTCCACACATCTATTGATGTGTATTCAAATACACATTTTCCCTTGTGTGATGTGTCTATACGCTCTTCTTTTTTTCGCTCACTCTATCTCTTGGTTGTTTATCGCCCGATTCATATGTACGATGATTCTGTCTAAGGTGAGCTCATTACCGTAATGTACCACTTGTACATACACTTTTCTGTACACACAGTGAACAGCAAACAGCAGAGTCCGACATAGGAAAATTGACGTGGGGAAACACATCTGAAACAGTAACCGAATCGTAAAATATGATTGCCATAATGTCATTTGATGTTGGCTCGTCGTTTCTTCTTTATTTCGGTATCTTTCCTTTATCTATGTATATCAATGCTCATTGTGTGATGAGCGTTTGACGAGTGTTCGGGTATTCATGTCAAAACGCAACCAAACATGCGATGCATGTTTGCATGCGATTGCAAGCTTAACACTGTGCACAGTGTACAGTGTACACACAGAACAGCAACAGAATAGAGTAATGCACAGACATCGATATGAGACTATTGTTAACGTTATACCATATTCCATTTTGGTTGAGGTTTTATTGATGTTTTCCTTTTTACCGAACAGATAGAGAGATAGAGAGAAAATGACGAAATAAAAATATGATGAAAAAAATAAAACCAACACACAAATACCGAAAGGAAATTGCGCAGATTTAAGCATCCTCCGCAAAAAAGAACTTCAAACAAAATTCCAATTCATCCCTCGTTCAACTATACAACTCACTATATGTGTGTTACATTTTATTGCAATCGTGCTCGCGCACATACACATCTCTCTCTCTCTCTCTCTCCATTTCTATTTCTATTCCTTTCTGAACAATGCCACGTTCAAAGTCACTCGCTTGCACTATATTAGCGTAATATTTTGCTCATAAAATGCCATGGATGGAAATAGTTTTAGTAGTTTCACTTACGTGATACAGAATGTTTCTATCAATATTATTATTATGAAAGAAAAGCGTTGACGTTGCGAATGTCATATGTAGCATATCATACTTGAATGCTACGAAAAGTGCCCTTATAAAATATACATCCATTTCGCACTCCAAATGTGTCATGACTTACGATTAATGGTAAACTAAAACTCGCCCATCCAACCTTCTCTCACTCTCCCTCGCTCAATGCGATTCGCAAAACGGAAAAAGAAGAAGAAGAAGAAGAAGAAGAAAAAAGAATGTATGAAATGGTTGGCCTTTGAAATAGTGAGACGAAATAAACGTAAAATGCTTCATCAGTGAAAAGAATGTCACTGATGTAATGATGTCATTTCAGTTTGATTGGCTTGGCTCAAAAACCACTTGATTTTAATGAAACAAAATCCCATAGATCCGGGCAATTATTGCATTCAACCGAAATACACTGGAATATACTGGGTGTTATCATCTGAAATGTTAATTATTTACATATTTCCTCAAAATGTTCGACGACACTGTCGATAACCAAAAAATATGATTCCAAATGTCTGCCCCACAATGAATGGTCATGGCGATGATGATGATGATGATGATGCAAATGTGTGTATGGCTTCATGTAATTTAATTATATTATATTTCAGCGATCGAAAGCAAACGACCATGAAAATGCATTCATTGTATGTTGGAAATGGACTGAAGACTAGTAATTGGTGTTGCGGTGGAAGATCACGAATTAAAGCAGAAAAAAAATTTAAGCGAGAAAAAGAAGACCGAATTGCCATCGTACGATTTCTCCGGTTTTATAAATGGGAAATTAATAAACATTTCATATATAGCGTACACTACGGTTTAACCATTAAACAATTTATGCAACGAATATTGTGTGTGTGTGTGTGTGTGTGTGTGTGCTTTTTTTTGTTTTTTGACCAATCGAACAGTTTACGGTAAATGGTGAATCTTAGCACGCAGCACATCGTGTATCAAATATTGCCACTTGTTTTCGATGGAAAATAATAATGAAGCGACAAGACCATGGATGATGCTATTGACTCGATGCCTTCCGTTCGGGCTATAATATTCGTCGTTCAACATCAGAAATAAAATGAAAAGACGACAACGACGGCGATGATGATGATGAAGAAGAAAAATAACACATACCAGTACATCTCTTGGAAGAGATTCATCGCTGGAATATCACCGGAGAGCGGGTGACCAAACGACCGAAGTTAGCGAGCGAACGAACGATCGAATGCGAGCGTAAGAGACACGTTGGCCACGATAACAGTGGCATTCAGCAGAATTTGAAGTGAAAGTAAAGAACAGCAACAACAACAATAATAAAACAAATAAAATACACGAAGAAGATGGTTTGTTTCCTTCATTGAATTTTTCAACCATTACAATGGTAACGATATGCTGCCGCTGCTGCTGCTGCCGATGCTGCTTATTTTTTCTTCTTCTATGTAAAAGTACTTTTCTTTCTGCACTTCATCATTTTGGTCGGGCGGTCGGTCGATGCTTTCATTTTACCATGCTGGCCACCGATTTATTCGCATTCACTCATCTTCCTACTTTTCATTTGCTGAAGCCGATGCCATCGTTTGTTTTTTTTCTCAATACTGTTTTCGCTGAAGCTAAATCGTTTTTGCTTGCGCGTTCGTACACTCTGCCATCATTGATTTATTTAAAATTCAACTCTAAATCCGGGAACACAATTTGATTATAAGACAACAAAATACGATTTTGCTTGTACTCGTACTCGTAATTCTATTACCGATCGCTCGAATGCCAACTGCATTCAACTTTTTAGCACTACATGAAATGTAGAGCTACTAATCTGCTTTTTTTTTCTTAATACTTTTTGAGTGATGAAACGAATTATGGTGAATTTGAATTTTATGCTCATATTTTTTATTTAATTTAAAACAGGTGCACTAACGACAAATAAGTGCATAATATCTCAAAGCGCCAATCAAATTTTTATTATCAAATGTTGTTTAAAAATTACATTAATTTTTCGTATAATATTTTCTGTGTCTTGAACAGAATTAAAGTGATTTTAGATTCTATGCTCATATTATAATATATAATAAATGATTATTTATTTAATTTAAACCAAAGGCAGTATATTTCAAAAAAGAAATAAAATCAAGATCTTGTAATTCATTTTGCAAATAAAAATATTGTTTCAAAATTACTTTGATGAAATACATTTCATGTAGTGCGCCAAAAAATAGTTTGTTGTGAAACAACAAAATAGATTAAGTAACTAAAAACTCAAGAACGCAGAGCGGAGCGTGTTTTCTTCTTCATTGTATTGTAACACGTAATCTTATATACGTATAAATAAATGTTCCGATGATGTGACGCATCGATTGTTTGAAGCAATCGCATACAATGGCCACTTCGGGACAAATTGCCAAATTATTTCGAGATTGTGTCGGTGTCGGTGTGCACAACAATAACAACGGCGATGACAACAACCGTTGACAGATCATTAAGCGTTGCAAATTGAAATGTTCAAAAAGGAACATCAGATAAGTATCAATGAGAATATTCAATACGTGCGCTCATCACACACACATTCGACTATTCATTGTGCACACCGTCAATCAGACGGATGAGATAATTCAAATGATTTGTTGTTGGTTTGCAAAGCACATGGTTGTTTGAATTAATACTGAATCAATATTATATGTAGAGAGAGAGAGAGTGAGAAAGCGGAAAACAAAAGGCAACGTGTGCAACAGCAACCGCAGCAGCAGCAGTAGCATCAACAATTGCCGAAGCAAAGCGGTACACCCATCCAAAATATTTCACATTGTGAAAAGTGAGTTCATTTTTGGACTTTCAACTTATTTACACCTCCGACAATCTGATTTGACTAACAATGTTATGAACAATCCGTAATAATTCACTGCAAAATTTCAAATTTGCTTGCCTATGTGTATTTGTTTGACGTGGTTTAATTCACATCACATGAAACCATTCATTATTGATTCTCCAATATATAATTGGTGCTCTCTCTCTCAGTCTGATCCAAGCATTCGTGAATGCTTTCATATTTCGATATGAATTAAGAGCCATCGTTTGATTAGCGTTCATCAGTTCAATTGTGGCATGGTATGGCATGGCATACAGTTCAATCAAATGCTCACTCTCTGTGTCTCTCATCGTCTGTTTGTTGGGCTTCATGCGACCAATCGAATGCTAAATTTGGAGATGGTTCCGTTTCGATTCCGAAATGGAAATTTAATCGAAATGAAAGTCTGATAATTTGATTCGACTCGACTCGACTCGATTCACTTGAAATGAATTGTGTATACTGTAGTATGTATATGTGCTTTGAAGATTCTAAGATTCACCATTTTCGAGAGAATTGTCTGCCATATGTTTGCGTGTTTGACAAACTATGTATTACAATTGACACTACCCAATGAAATAATTAAACAATGCACAGTTTAATTTTGTCACCGTATTTTTTTAATTGCAATTTAATTCATCTTAACAAACATTGATTCATTTGATTTTCAATTTGTTGTTGTTGCTGTTTTTTTTTCTCATATAAAAACTTAAATCTTAAACAACTAGTGAGAGAAGTATTTACAAAAGAGAGAGACTAGGTGGATAGATTTAGTATGGTCCAGATTTTCCAGGAGGTCCGTATTGAGTTGATGGCGATCCTCCATGTCCGCTACCGATGCCTGAGCTACCGATGCCTGAGCTACCGATGCCTGAGCTACCGAAATCAATGCCTGAGCCGCCACCAATTGGGCCTGGTGCACTCAAATCCAAACCAGACGAAGAGCCAACGTTAGCTGCTGGATAACCACCTGCACCACCGGATTCCTTTTGTGTCTTGTATTTGATGAAGTAGACTTCTGGTTTGGATGGTTGAGTTGGGGCAGCCGTTGGGATAACAATGTCTTGTTGTTCTTCTGGTTTCTTGACAAGAACGTAGACCAATGTCTTTTCTTCATTTTGTGGTTGAACTGGGATGATTGGTGCTTGGTAGGATGGTGGCGATGGAGCTGAAAATACACAACAAAATTGTAACAATACACGTGCAAATGATTTTTCTGTTTTGCTTTTTTTTTTCTTCGTGTGACATAAAGGCGGTTTTGCTTTGATAAATCGAATCGACACTTCGAACGAACAGATTTTTTTTTCTTCTGGATCAAAAGCCAAAACACATGCTTTACGAGTTTTGATTGACAAAAAGGGTAACAAGTAAAAACAAAAATGTTTACCTTTGATGAAGATGATTTTGTAGTGCTTTTGGGCTTGGGCTACTGGGATTTGACGTTGTGGTTGCACATCCTATTGTGAATAAAATAAACGTATATATTGTATTACATCTTCGATAATTCGTTTGAAATAACGAAAAACAAACCTCTGGCTCTGGTGGAGGAACATGGACGTAGATGTGCTTTTGTACAACAGCAGCACCGCTTGATTGATATCCACCGCCACTGTATCCACCACCGCCGCTACCACCTGTGAACATTGATATTTAGAAAAAAGACCATTATCAAAGTTACGTTAGTTTTAAGTGAATTTTTAATTTTTTTTTTCGTTGGTTGGCATTTCTTCAAGTGCATTCTTTTTAATTTATTCACGACAACAATTGCATCAGCTGAAATGCATTGAAACAAAAATGAGCCAGAGATTTCCTCTCCGGCTGTTCAATGATCCGATCCAGACAGAAAGACGATTGGAATGATCAGCGCGTGTGAAAATTCGTTCATCACTCTGATGGAAAATTATGTTATTATTTGCTGGTAGTAAAAGAAATATTTGAGATTGTGTCGTATATTTAAATATAGCATTAAAAAGATTATCATTTTTTTTTGCTGTGTGTAGGAAATTTTCAATGAAAACACAGTCATCATTAAATCATTTTCATCCGTTTGATTCAGTCGCACTTCTTCACTTCCATTCATGCATCGCGTGGAAAAAAATATATTTAATAGTCGTACACAGTGCAAGTGTATTTCATTTTTTGCTTTCTTGTTGCCTTCTTCTACTCTTCTTTTCGTTTCACACTATATATCTATTGTTAACATATAAAACGCAATATACACGGCGGAAATATATGACGGTTTGCATGTAAAGTGAAATGTTGTGATACTCTACGATTTAGAATGAGTGCACTGACGTCATTTTTGCGTGCTTTGATATCGTAAAAATTGTAACTACTTTTTGCTGTTACTTTTTTTGTGTGTTTATGTAACGAAATTTTCCAGTTGTGTTTTCCCGTTAATTAACACTCAAAATTCATTTCATGTGTAAATTTATTTCTCGTCTGTTGCTCATGCACAATGAATGTTCTGAGGAAGAGCGAAAACATTTGTCGACAAGAGTGTCTATTATTCTACTGTTGAAGTAGATACATTGTCGTGTGAGCGATGCCGTGCGATTTTAATTTGTATTTTTGGACATGAAGTGTTGGGGAAAACGTTGAAGTTTACCAAGAAAATCGAAATGAAACTTCACTGATGCAATGTATCTAGTTAAAATAAATGTGTCCTCATTAGAACAACTGAATTTATATGGTTGAAATATTTAGAATTTTGAATACCATTCCCGTTGGTTGTTCAATGATTAAAATTTTAACTCGAAATGGTAAAATATCTTCAGCAGTTGTAATAAATGTTTAGCGAAATATTCTCGTGAGCCGTATTGCATGTTCATGCATTTTGCGCATGGAGCCAAGTTCGCCATTTATTTGGAATGAACACCCAGAATGTGATTGAAGAAGGCTCTTTATTATATTTTCTTCTTGGTGCATATCATTTTTGAGTATTACAATGTGTTCTTCTGGGAGCCATTTATTTTTCCAAAATAAAACTTGCACCGCATGTAAACTGGAAAATGCATTACATATGCATGGAAAATTACGTTTCTTTTTTCTTCTTTTTTCCTTTGAATGGGAGAAAAATCACACTACGAACAGAATACGTGACGGTCACCAGCTCAGAAACGTTACGATTCAGCTTATGCGAATTTCGGGATTCGATGCATGGCGAACCGATTAATATTTGCCTCGATAAACGTTTCAGAGTTATGATCATCACTTGAAACAGCTGTTCGTCGCCATATTACAATATTTCGATCCATACTTGACCGCATCGAATGAAATGGGAATATTCTTTTTTATACAAACGATCGAACGCGCGATTTTCTAGCGAACGTGTTCTATTTGATTTTTTTTTCTTTCAAAACTTGGAACCATTCGAATTCGAATTGTTTGTTTTATTATTTTTTGTTTGTTTATTTTTGTTAACACACACCTCCGATGCCAAAACCACTTAAGCTCGATGAACCGCCACTACTGAAACTACTACCGAATGAGCCGCCTCCATGTCCGATACCAAAACTAGATCCACTGACACCCGAAAAGCCTGTGCTAATGCCACCGGATCCACCAGGACGGTTGTACGAATAGCCAGATTGAATAGGTGCCTCAGGTCGAGCCGCGGCAAAAGCTAAACACGATAATACAATGAATGCTCGCATCTTGATTCGGATGATATATGTTTTTTTTTCTCTAAATCGTTCGCGTTGCTTTCCAAAATGGAAACGAAAAGAAAACTACTTCGGGATTGAATAAACAAATTTCGATATCCAACAAAACGACCGGTGCTCACAAACGTTGTTGTGTAGATACTAAATGTTGACTGATCAATCCAACCGAGGTGATTCTATTTATATATCATCAGACCCATTCAGATAATCTACGAAAATTTGATTGTACTGAAGCCCAAACGAAAGACTTGCTCTTTTCGAAAAGAGCAACAGCATTCACCAAAAAATAACAACAACAGCAACAATGTGCATGAACTATGAGTGGGGCATCCTGCATTGAGATGTACAGATGTACATCGACAAACGCCGTAATGAAAGCCGCATCAACAATACACGACAACGACGAAGACAACAACAGCAGCAGCAATAACAATAACAACAACAAAAGCCAACCAACGAAAGCGCAAAGCGACATGTAAACGAAGCAACGCAAAGTTCGCAACAACAGAAACAACCGGAGCCACACAAATGAATTTTAAAGAAAAGCAAAGGTAACAGAAGCTAGTGTATCATCTGCCACAAGTTCACCGCTTGCACACGAAAAACCGACCAAACAAACGAAATTGAAAACACACCGAACGAGAAAGAAAAGAATGCAATAGCGCGAGCGCGAGCGCGAGTCATCGGGATTTTCTCTTCATTTAGCAGCGCATTGGTTTGGTAATTGTTATTATTGTTATTGTTGCTGTCCGCTCGCCTTCTTCACCTTTTTATTCCGTACAATTTGGTTCCATCAAATGAATTACTAACAATTTAACCGAACAAGCAAACCAGCGAAACGTTATACACATGCTCAGTCTATATATGTATACCAATGCGCCAAGATATTTTCTTTATATTTAATTTTCGTTTCGAAAAGCGATGAACCAAAAAAAAAAGAAAAATAAGAAGAAGAAGAAGAATGAAAGATGCTACAGACAAAAGTGACTGGTGAACGCGAGAAGAAGCATGCACACAGTGTGCAAGCGGTGCGATGCCGATGCCGATGCCGATGACGAACCGCACACACTACGTGAGGAGCTGGTTAAATTTTTCACATAAAACTTAATTGATGCACATCGAATGGTTTAGATAGTGGATAAATACTAGATGCCTTCTATGGATTAGCATGATAAAAGAAAAAGAAGAAAAGTGCAGCAATTCGATAGAAAACGACATTATTTTTCGTTGTTTTTTCTTTCTTCGTTTTTATAATGCGCCTTTTTATTTCTTCTAAGTTTGTGTGTATGTTATGCATTATTCCACTTTTGGTGTGGTTTTTGATGTTTTCAAGAATGTCAGTGATTTTCCTTCCATTCCGATGCATATGTACGTTTTACCCATAAATAAAGAAGACGAAGAGATGTCGTTAATCAAAATATTCATATTGATTCCGACAAAGAGTCGATGTTGATTTCCAGAGGCGATGGCCGAATGCGAAAGCGAGAGAATTACCTACATAACTGCACCCATATCAATATTACCTTCTTTTTTTTACTTAATACGGTTCGAGTCGTTAATTTTTCTTGTCACCTTCGAATTTCGAGACGGTTTTGTTGCTCATTTCCACATCAAAAAGTATACGCACATTGCATTACAATTGAAAGTATTCAAATGAGCGGCTGAAAATTGGGAAATTGGGTTCGATCTCTCGTCCTATTTTTTTTTCGTTCCATTCATCGCCATCAACGTCGTCGTGGTCGTTGTCTTCTTCTTCATCTTTCAAATGAAAAATGACCATTGCAAAGAATTTGAGGGTCTTTGAAATTGATTTTCGGTAATTGCATGCGATGTCATACAAACATCATCTATCATGCGATGCCGATGACCATGAGAATGAAGCGAGCGTCATCCAAGCACATACAAAGTTTTAAGCGAAAAGATAGACACATGACAGACAACACACATACAGTAACTTTTTAAATTGGAAAAAGCTACTTAAAGCCATGAAGAAGAAGAAGAAGAAGAAGAAGTGAAAAAGAAAAAGGAGAAGGAATACGACCGAAAAGCGCTATGCAAAGACTCCAGCAACATCAGCAGCGGCAACAACAATTACAACGAGTGACAGCACTTATGGAATGTCGAACGGAGCATTTTCGATGTATGTGCGTTTTTTGTCTTCGTCGTCGTCGTTGTCGTCGTCACAGTCTCGAAAATCGAATGTGCTGAAAACAACGATAGCTATGTGGCCCCGGCCGGTGCCATGAATTGATCAAAATCAATGCCTTTCTTTTTTTTCTGTAAATAATAATTACGTGCAAGGAGTAGCAGAGAGAAAAGAATAGGTGAAGCATTTTTATGTTCAAAATGAACATTTTCGTATGACAAAGGCATCCAGTGCTATTTGAAAATTCTTGATGCGACATTCTCTCGGCTCTTTTCTCTCGATGTATTCGGAGGGAAGAAAGAATAGCATCGCAAGTACAACGGAGTGATGATCAAAAGTCAGGCAATGTCGTTGTGGTTTCAAGGGAGCCAATGACTGGTTTTTTCGGCTGCATATGGCGGTTGATCGAAGCAGCAGCAGCAACAACCCACATGAGGGAATTATGTTACGGTGGCACATGCTGAATGTTTCGAAAATTCATTCATTCAGCAGCGGACAGCATGGTGTTTTTGACTTTTCATTACCTTCACATGCGTAATAGCTGATATATTTTTTTTCATCGCTTTTGCCCAGAATGGGATGCGGATGATGATGATGTATGTGGCACATGAACGTGCAATTATGTGTACATCAATGACTGTTATATAACACACACCGCAACCACACGTACCACACACGCAAAAGAAGCGGCACTATAGCCAATCTAAAGAGCATTACCAGGCTGTTGGCATCGCGAGATGATGAAGAAGCACGGCAGCAGCAGCAGCAGTAACAACAACAATGCCGACAACAGAAACAAAAAAGAAGAAGTAAATACAGTGAGCATGTAAAGCGTGTAGAAATGAAATTGAATTAAAAAAGGGTTAGATGAACAACAGTAAAAAATGGAACGAACTAATCAACGCTCAATTTCGTGTCAAGAGTGTGTGATTTGTTTTTTGTTGTTTTGTTTCACTCTTTTTTCGGCTAAATGCGATTCAACAAAACAATGAGAGAGAAGTTTAAACGCCACTAAAGACATGAACCAACGGTATATGAACGCGCAGAGAGAGAGAGAGAGAGAGAGAGAGAGAGAGAGAGAGAGAGAGAGA